ACTTGCTGCCAGCTTGCTTTCCCTGTCTCTCTCCCTTTGAAGCAGACTGGACAGCTTCCTCAAGCTGGCGTTATCACTCCCTCTAACCACTCTTGGCAGGCAATCTAATTCCCCCTGAAAAGGTCACCGCCATTTTAACTGCCTTTCAATCACATTAAGCACGCTGCCGCTCGTGCTCAGAGCACTGCGCCTGCAGCTCTCCTGACTGAGGTGCGATCGATAAACTGACATCCCGCCCAACACCCAGCTCCCCAATCGCCCCAGCCCTGCTCTCCTCCATCCCCTCTCCTGGGCAAGCTGCCTCCCAGAACACACGGAAAGAGACCAAGTGACAAAATCCTCTCCTCAAATCTGAGGCAGCAGAAGGGAGCCGCTAACCTGGCATTTACTAATCTTTGTCCCATCTGTTAAGAAACAGAAGGGTGCAAGCATCCCCCACCCCCCCCGCCTTCCCTAGACCTACAGAGGCAGCAACTTCACAGGACAGTTTGCTTAGGCACCAGTCCAGACACCTTTGAAGCTGTGTTACAAAGAACAAGCCTCCCTCAAGCTTCCCTCAATGCAATCATTACCGTTATCTCTCCCCCTGAGTTGCTTTTTTTTTTGCAGTTACGAGTTATGTGTTCCACCCATCGATCCCTGTGTAAGACACTGTTTTAAGTCCTCTTGCCTTTTGACTGTGCTAAGCTGTTTAAGAGATGACAGCAGCTTCTATCAGTGTGAAGCTGATGTGATTCTTTTCAGATAAAGCACTTTTTTTTCCACTTCCCCCTCTCCCTTTCCTTCTTTCAAGTAAGAAACATACATACAAAAAGAGACACTGAATCTTTCAAAGAAAAAAAACCTTTTGAACTTCCCCCAGGAATTCTTTAAAAGGATAACCTTACAGTGTAAACACTGAGGGTAACGTGCATCCATTCCAGACTGGAATAGAAGAATTGCTACAAATATGTTGAGCATTAAAAAAAACCCAACAAACCCCACATCAGAGAGGAAGCCACTTGACGCTTTCACTTGAGAAGCCTTGTTGGCATCCTAAACACAGAAACTCATTAAAGACGGCATGAAATAATCCTGTGCAACAAAGAGCTTCAGAGAGAGATGATTCAGAGACATGGGGAGAGATAGTTACTGAATGTTCAGGTATTTCAAGAGAAATTTTAGTCTTGTGACACTGTACTGCGGCAGGGGAATATTTGATTATTTTATCTGTACAGTTTCACACTTTGAAGTACAAGCTTGATTTAAACTGAGTTTGGTATTTCGTGCTGGTATTCTTCTGCACCTACCCCCAAACAGAACCACAAACTCTCCTACAAACCCCTACTTAAGCAGGGCCTCTACTGAAATAAAGTGGTTCCAAACTCTATATAAGTGCCAATAATCTTAATTTACACCCTGCATCCTTCCAGTTTTGGAAAGCAAACTGAATCATGGTAAATGACGCTTTAAGAAACCAGGAGGACAGTTAGAAGTACCAAACATTTCCTGACTGAAATCCTTCACCAAACCAAACAGCTGCAAAGACAACACTCTGGTCCCTGCACTTCTTAGGTCATATTCCTACTTGCTGCCACAGCCTGTTCTTTCCACCTGCTGCCTCTTTCCACCTGCATGCCAAGATGTGGCAGCCAAGTAGGTGTGCTTTGGCCCTGCTGCACTAGATCTGACTGGGGGCTTGCAGCTATAACACCAACAAAGAAGACAAAGAATTCCCAGCTTCTAAGACAGCCTTTCAGTTTAGAAGAGCAAGTTTTCCCTGTAAATACTTTGGAAGCAGGAAAGTGTCATCCAAGGAACTTTACAAGTGAAAGTTTCAGCCTGTGGTTGCTTCCATGTTTTAGACATCTTCTAGAAAATCCCAACAAGGCTGTTCATTTCCCTGATGTTTCTGTTTTTAAGAAGAAAATCCCCAAATTCTCTCAACCTTACTCCAGTTGAGAATCTGTCAGGATTTTCTACATAATTGGCAAAGAATTTTCCTCATGTTGAGAATGATATGATCCTTGTCCCCTAACCAAAAATGATAAAAAGAAGCCAGGATCTGTGTTAAGTTTGAGACATTGCTGTAATGCTGCCCAATGGACTTACGTACAACACAAACTGGCCACAGTGTACTGGTCCCCCTTCACCCAGCTGTGACATCTCCTCAAAGCAACACACCATTAAAACCAAAATTAATGAGACACATGACCATCTATTTTCCCCTCCGGTTTTATGTATTTCCCCATGTCATCTCTTTAGACATTGGTGACATCCTTGTAGCCTGGCAAAGGCTGTCTGGCATTATAAAAGACATTTGATTTCCACATCACTGCTACTTCTCAGCAAAGGGAACAGAGCCAAATGCAAAGCCTCAGGTGACAGGGGTTAACGAGGGCATTGCCAGCTCCAGACAAAGCAGTTTTAAGCACTAGAAAGCATCTACAAAACGTTGTGCTGTGCTTCAGGGCTGTAAATTAGGAATTCTGTCTAGCAAGACCCAACACTGGCAGCAAAAGAAAAAAGACAGTCACCTTAAGATTACCTGAGAGTGCACATAGCAGTCCTGAGTGATGGAGACTTGTGAATGCAGTAGTCAGAGACAATAGGAGAGCCACAAAAGAGAGCATGAAAAAGTGTAACTTAATTAAAAATAAATGCAATCAGCCAGCTGTAGGATATCACTCCAGCTTTGCTTTGGCTTTCCAAATTTTACCACTTCTTGCACAGAGTAGGTAGGTACCCTGTACATACTGTCTGCTTATCCCAAAATACTAGGTAGAAAGTTGTTAGAAAAAAAAAATCCCCTGCTTAGGGAAGAGGACACTTCTCTAGAGAAGCCTTGGCAGCTGTTGAATCTAGCTGCCAGCAGAGGTGTGCTCTGCAGGAGGAAGGCCAGGAGCTAGAGACCTGCTAGCTGCTCAAATATAAGGAGTCCCTTCTTCAGCAGTGGTTCAGCCACCAAATGCTGCACAGGGAGGATGTTTCTCACTACTAATACTACAGGGAGTGTCCTGTGCTTGTGAGCTGATCTACAGACACCTTTCACCCAGCACCACCAAGGGAGGAAGATTAACCCAAAAGCCTTGTCAGCAGGGTGACTATGGAGGATTTTAGAACTCTATGTAGTTGTATTCTGCTTTTCTCCTGGACTTCCAATCTTTTCCTGGATCTGTCCATGTAATTCCTGAAGGTGTAATGAAGGTCTCCAAAAGGAAAAAAGAGACAGACCCTACATTTCCTGATGGAAGCAACGCCATCTCTAAGTATGAATGACGTGCACAAGTATCTGTTCACGTGTGTGTAGCCATCCGGCAGATGTTACAGCACTCACTGATGCTAGGACCTATCTAACTTCTGGTGGAGGAAAGCAGATGATCAACATAGTGACAAGTAACACATTTGAGAATTCCTTAAAATAATGAAGAAAATGCAAAGAAGAACAAGTAATTTACATTTACCCAGCCTAACTACATCAATTACACGCATTTTGTCCACCTGAAGCCTCATTTGAAAGAGTCTCCATATAACCAAGGCAATGTGGAAGGTTCAGATCACACTTCAGGGAGTTAACTCAAAAACAACTGGAAACATTTACCAGGAGAAGACAGCACCATGTCCACACTAAAGGAAGTGAAGATCATGCTCTCCTCAAATGCAGGTGTTTAGTGGGGGTGAAGAAAAAAACCACCCATGCAAAAAGAGAAGGAATGAACTGAACAGCTTTTTCTAACCAGGACTAGCATTGATAACAACAGAGGCACACAGACATTTCATGCTTCCCTGCTACAGGTTGTAGTGTCTATGCTACATATACATAGTCTAAGATCCTGCATGCACTCATCAGGCCTCTATATGGAATCATGCACAGACACAACTCTCCATGCAGTCACAAAAAAAAAGTTAGGCTACTGACACAGCACATAATAGTGTGAGACTCACTGGGGGTCCTTTAAAGCCCAAAGAAACTACTCCTTCAGCTCTGTGCTCCTGATCATATGCTCTGCTATAACCCAGCTACAATTTAATTTCAGAGGAAAGCAAGTGCAGATCAGGAGTGCCTGGTTTTAGCTGAGCACATGGCTGGCTTTTAAGTCCAACTCCCTTATGCAGTAGCCTTTCCCCTTGAGATATTTTAAATTAAAATCCAAGTTGATATAGGAAGAGATCACATCCCATCCTCTTTATTGAACGAAGGGAGCCAGCATTCCTCCTCTCATTAAGTATGCGCTACGTGGATTGCTTGCAAGAAACTCTCGTGAGTGCCTGAGGCTGATGCCAACAAACAGTTTAGTAAATCCTCCTCTTTGAGGCCAAAGGGCTGAATGTAAGAAAGGGGCCTGGTTTCTAGCTAAAATTACATTCACCAATAAAGCTCACGAGAGGTCAAATTTTGCCATAACTCACTCTCTCCTTGGTAACTGATTTCCCCGTCACTGGGGAAGAAGCAAAAGGAGGAGGAAAAATAAAATGTGTTTGTCTGAGAGCCCTAAGGGCTTGCAGTGCTGGAGGTGCAGAGCAGGTTCCTGGATTCTCATTTATCAACCTTAAAAGGGATGGAGTGATAAATGCACAACTGGCCCTTTAATATTTTATGCAGGTGCTAAAGCGACTTAGCTGTCACCTCCAATACATCACCAGAGGCTGATACACCAGCTTTCGTCACTCCAGGCTGAGAATTTTTACAATTTCATTTCTATTTCCCTCTCTTCACATATTTCCATGTATTTCTTACTATGTAGATATAAAACGTTATTTTCCCCATATGATCTACCCATTCCCTCTTCAGCCACATTCTTTGAGAAAGAAAGAACCCCATGCTTTGTTCAAGATTTGCACAAATTTTGACTCTCATCATTTAAGAAGGACAAAAAACTGAAACCACTTTACATTCTGGCAAAGGCTGATGATTCTACCTTTTTTGGAAGGGAAATCCCCGTGTCCCTCCCTTTAAAGACAGGTAATGATCAACTTTCACAGCAGAATGATTTACTAGTGTACCCAAAACACTGGCGCACCTCGAAATCCTCCCTCCAGGAGAGTAGTAGCCCGTATCCTCTTCTGCCCACACCACTCGTACTCTTCAAAGCGGTTGCCGTTCTCGTTCTCGATGTCCACAGAGTCATCCTCAGTCATGCATGAACCTTCTCTCTGCATGGGGTAAATCAGGGGCAGAGTGTTGAGATGCACAAAACGGCTCATTGGCATTCATAACTCATGGTGGGATGGGGAAGAAAAGCTGGACTGCTCCCAGGACAGCTAAGTATAGAGCATACAGTAGCCTTTATTCCCATCCCTGCTCCTACTAACCTAAACTAGACACTTGAAGAACTTGACAACCTAAGATCAAAACAAATTGCAAGTTTCATAATTTCTACTCAAGGAAATTTAAGGTCCCTACAGCAATGCTGGTGTTCATTTCAACATGCATTCCCCTGCCTTGTGTGCAAAATTCCTCTATCATGGAGGAACATGATACCACAGAATCCTCTGACCCCTAGCAGAAGTGGTCTCCTATAACATACTTTTGGGGCATACTGATCAAAATACACCTCTCTTTATACTATGCACCTCTTGAGGCAACAAGTCCTCTACTGAAGGTTTTTCCTGAGAAACACGAACAAAAAGCCCTATGACAAAACTCTCTTCCTTCCCCAGGGCCTGTTTCTTCTTCCTTGCTGTCTCTGGGATGAACAGCATGAGAACAATTCTGCTTAAATGCACTTCCCTGGAGTAAGATAGTCATGCAACCTTTACAAATCCCAGTCTGTCACAAAAGAACCCAAAAAATAATAATTCTAATGTTGTCAAAGGCACAGATTGGAATGAACTGCTCTTCCTGTGCTACACAGCCTGTAGCCTGAAGTCCTACAGAAGGTTCATAAACTTCAATAGCTCCACCTTTAAAATCTACAAATTAGACTTCTGTAACAGCAGAAGGGTGCACGAAGTAAAAAGTTACTAATGCAACGTAACAAAAAAATCCAGACGAATCCATCTTCCCAGACAAAGAAGTGACTACAGATCTTAGGGAGACAGTTAGCATTGCCTGCAAGCTCAGCAATGTTAGTTTTTGCCCCACATTAGGCCAACTGCAGAGCTGGGAGTAGGGAGAAGGGAATGGCAGCTGGTCATCCTGCTGCGCCTCTACCTTTGCAAGGCATTGTTCCACATGCCTACTCATCTCCTCCTCGGATCCTGACAGAGGTCGGCTGCAGAGGGGACATACCTGCCCTTCGTCTTGCTTCCTCCGTTTCATTTTTCCAATCCGAGCTGCATGGAGAAACCAGGGAAAGAAAACAAACAAAAAAGGAAGACATGTCAAGTTTGTAGATCCAGTCTTTATTAGCTCAGCTCCAACAAATAAACTCGCAGCAAAAATAGTAAGATTTCACACCAGAAAATCCCTCTGTAACTCCCTATTCTGACCTCTATGAATAGTACAGAGACTGTTACTTGGCACTTTTCAGAGGAAATCTATAACCTGTAGCTGAGTGCTCTGATTCCACACAGGCAGATATTCACAATTTAACAGCTAGGAGAAGGAATATCTGCTGCACATCCCATGGTAAATTGTTAGAATGGTTAAAATCTTTCCTTTGGAAACCTGAAATTGCTTTCAAAGTTGAGCGTATCAAGCCACTGAACCCTGTTTTGGATTTTACTTTCTAAGCCTGAGGCCCTTCCACTAACATGTCTATTCCCTCTACAAGAACTTGCTTAGAATGCAGAAGGATGATGCAGCACCTGATAGCCTTGGATGAGATATTTAACAATTACTTTCCCGACCACAGAGCCACCTGTGCACCCTGAAAAACCCCTCAGACCACCACAAACAAGTCAGAGCACCATCTTGGTAGCAGGTAATACTATGGAAAGGAAAGGTATTTGGTACAAAAAACACAAGACCCATGCTAGATAGCTTCTGTCTCTCTACTGTTTTATTTCATGAAAACTAGGGGCTACACTGCCTTCTTGAGAACATGCTCTGGGAAACAAATATGTTAGGAATCACGATGATTAGAAAAAGCAGCCAAGGTAGCCTGTTGCTTAATCCAATAGCTGGTTAATTTGAGCCATCGTTTAATGTGATCAAAACATCTGGAACCAAATCATTTGCATTAAAAAGAACTTCTGTCTTTTATTACGATGGCTTTAGGCAGATATTACTGAATAACTCAATCACTGGCTGCAGGAAAGTCACTGTTTAATTAATAAGGAAGGTCAAAATTCTGAATGAGAGACAAGAAAAAGCCCAAGGAAAGCCCATGTGATAATAAGAGATGACACCACCAAAAAGCTGCATTAGCCAGAAATCGTTACTGACATTGTGAGCACTGCAGCATGCTCTGAAAGCCTTCATGCCTGAACACGATGGGATCAACAGCTCCCTGCAGCCAAGGAGTCAGAGAAAGCTTCTGGAATGCCAGGATGAGAAGGACCAGTGTGCAGGAAAGTTTCTATCAATTGTTTTCAAGTACTTCAATTTAGAGCACACACATCAAGTGAATGATAAAGTTTCAACTGAACACATCAGCACAGATAGGAAAGGCCTTGTTCAAGACTTCGTTGTTGGCTTCCCTGGACTCAGCACCCTCTGGGTTAGGATATACTTTCTCACAATCTGGAACTAGGAGTATTCATCATCCCCTATACTCTGTCATGCTCCAGCACTAAGAAAGCTTAAAATTATTCCATGGGCACTGTTTTTCCTCATTGAAATACATATGTGTGAAAACTCCCTGAAAAATACATCTCCACTCCTCACATCCTGGAAAGGATTTTGTAAATGTGACATTTCTAGAATAAGAGACAGCAACCTGAGACCAAAACAAGAATGTTTTTGATATCTGGCACTTCGAACAACACAGACTCTCAACAGACACAGCTTTCATTATTTATCTAAATTTTAATTGCTGAAGCTCCACAACCCTCTCTTGTGCTGGGTATACCACAGTGACAGCTTCACAACTCTCTCATTTAGGCAGAGTTAAGCCACACTCTTTCTGGCTTGTACTTTAACACCCAAGAGATTTCTGAAGTTCTGGTTTACTGCATACCTATATCCTTCAGCTCTTTCATGTAAGTTTAGGATGCTCTTTCCTTGCCTCACTAGCTCTGTAGAGCCAAAAAAAAAAAAAAAAAAAGGATGGAGGCTGGAATCAGAAACGACTTGAGCATTCCTCAGCAAACACCCCTCTGGAGAGAAACACTGAAACAAAGCTTTCTCTGTCCTGATCACAGACACAAATTTCTCTCAACTCACCTTTTTTTTTTAACAGGGAAATGTAGTTTAATTATTCTGGTAGGACTCCCCATGGCCAAACAATTCAGTTAGAGCAGTCTGTCTAGTGAATTTATTAGCATTTTTAGGGATTTTTTACTGCCATCTTCCAGTCCATGCACTGTAGCAGTGACAAAAGGAAGACAACTTATTTTGGGTCTTCTGCTGATAAATTCTTGGGACTATTTTACCAGAACAAGCACCTGATCTGCTGCTGAAATGTTAGAGCAGAGCTGGGAAGAGAACCTCACTCTGCTCAAGCTCTACACCAGACCCAGCAGCCAGTCCCTATCTTAGCTCATTTAGCTCCGCAGAGAAGCAGGCCTTTGAGTTACCACAAGTGAAAAAAACCACTGGAGGAAAGAGGTGTTGAAAACAAATCTCCCTGCCATTTTCATTCTCTGGTCATTAGCAGTGGCAGTGTCGTGCCCAGGGACGCCAAGGGTGCCCCTGGTGACAGGAGGAATGGAAAGGGAGCAGCCTGGAAAGCAGATCCGAGCGGCGCTGTCCCTGCCCGGCACACGCAGCCCGGCCATCACTTCCAATCAGCGCGGCAGGGACAGAGCGACCCCAAAGGCAGGGGCTGATTGTGGCGCTGTCCCGAAGGGGAGCATCTCAAAAGAACACTCGAGTGAGACCACAGGATTGCTAATTAGTGTTGATAGATGCGATCATTTCTAATTAGCTCACTAATCCCTCTCCCCCTCACTCCTGTCGAAGGAGCATGGAGAGGGAAAAAAAAAAGAAAAAGTCATTCCCTCCCGTAATTCAGGAAGATAAAAATGCAGCCAGTTGAGGACTGGATGTACAAAGAGGGCAGAACAGGGAGGGAAGTTTTTGCACAAGCCTAACCCATTCTTACCTCTGACTGAACAAAGACTCCATAGTTATTATTCCAACCTTCTGCCAGGAGGTGAGGAGTTCACCAATTTTTATTAGCATTAATAATTATTATTAGGCTATCAGAGGGCTTCCAGCACCTCCGAGGCCTCACTTTTAAAGACGTACATTACCCTACACACGGCTCCTGCTGCAAGTGCATGTTCTCCTTCAGATTATATGAAACCATCAGGTACCCAGGGAGTTTAAAGTGATCACAGGAGATGAATGAGAAAGTAGCACATGGAGGTGAGCAAGAACTGGGATCCTCTGCAAGGGGTCTGTGTTATGGTCTCTGACTTAACCTAGGAGCTGTGCTGGCTAAGGGAATTGCTCTTCCCTTCACTGATATCTAGTTCTCTAATATGGGGCTACGCAAGGTGAGAGAGTCTGCTTGCACTAGAGGAGCCAAACTGCACTTGACAAGGCCTCTGCTGCTGAAGGCACACTGGTCCCTGCCTTCTCACAGGTGCAGAGACTAGGAGCCAACCCACCATTGCTGCCTTATTGGCAGAAGAGACTGAGGATTTTTTCTAACAATGGGCTCTCCTCATCAAGGCTGAGCCTTATTAATGCCTAAAGATCATATTACTCTCTAGTCCAGCCAAACTTCCTGTGAGAACAGCTAATGGATTTTAGTTTTCATTGGTACTCCCCTCCCCAGGCAAAAATTCACCTTCAGGACAGGGCACTAATTACCTCAGAAGTGCTCTTACACAGCATCTAGCAGCAGACATTGCACCAACCTCTCCTGCAGCATCAAAGGAGATGATTAAGTTACTAGGAATATCTTATGGTTCCCTCCACCAGTTTGAGTGGTCCCTTGAGTCCTATGCAGACATCATTAGCAGCTCTTGCAATGGCAGGCCAATCAAATTAAGTGGAAACATTTTTGTCTCCTTTCCAGTGAAAATCATCCATCTTTATTCCTCCCCCACCCATGAGCTACAAAAGCAGGGGACACGGTGGTGGTTCAACAAACTGCATGGTCTGTTTGGAGAGACAGGCTTAGGGTAACCACCAAAACTGGACTCACCTTCTCAGGGAGGCACAAATAGAGCTTTGCAAGGACCTATTTATTTCACAACTCACCTGAGAATGTAAACTTTGGAAACAACCCTAAATTTGAGTCAGAGATAGTCAAGCACAAGATTGCTCTACTGCAATCTACTAGAGGAGTCCTGAGGAGTAGTTACACCTACTTTTGTTAAATCTGTCACAAAAAGCTTTTGTGAATGATCAAACTCATCCACTACATCTGATGCAAGGGAATAATAGCAGTAGTGGCTGAGCACAAAAAGCCATCTCAAGAATAAGCAAAAGCAAGAAAACAGATGGTCAAGAAGTAACCCGTTTCAGACCTTAAGTACGATTTGCTGCTCATCTGCTTGAAAAAGAACATTAAGGGCCAGATTCACAAAAGGGTCTCAGTGCAGCTTTCAGATTTGCATGGCCAAAGTTCCACACAGATGATTTTCAGCAACCTTCAATCTGACACTATTCTCTGAGGTTGGCACCTACTTAACCCATGTTCTGATACACTAAGCCAAACTTTGTGCCTCTAATTTTGAATGACTACATAACCTGCTCTGCACTGCTAAGCTCCACAAGCATCAATTTACAGGGTGGCTTAAAGTTTCCAGTTTGGCAACACTGGAAATAAGGCAAATTAAAGAAATGCTTCCGTTATCACACAGGTTCATCAGGAACCAGCACCTCATACTCCTGGGTTCACAAGGACACAACCTCTGTAAAGTGAGTTTAGCACAGGTGAGAAGTGCAGGATTGACTCACTGAGGCTAACAGGGAAGTTGTGATACAAACACTCAACCAAGAGACTAACAGACAGAACATTAATCTCCTGCACCTGAGCTTGAAAATGCATTTACCTTACTTGCAGCTCAATTTAAGTCACTGGTTTGACTTACAGAATTAAAATTCTGGCCAGTCAGGTACGTGTGAACCGTGTTACTATCAGGACCTAATCATGCTGCAGCCAGGCCAACAGCAGCTCACAGAAGACATTTTCCTCTCTACCTCCTCTTCCCTTAGCTCCTTTTGCACATTCTCAAATGAACACAACAGGATGGAAAACATCAAGGTCCAAACAAAACTGAGTCACAAACAGCCTGAGCAGCCAAGATTTGAGTCAAGGACAATGTGGAGGAAGAGCAAACACTGTGAGCCCTTTTTATAGGAGGAGTTTCCAGAAGTGCTTCTAGAACTCAGCTCGTAAAAGCTTGACAGAAATGCGAAGATAAACTGGTTACAACAATATTGAAAAGTACACATAAAACATAATAAAAACAAATGAAATAGATTTTTTTGACAGACTGTATTTGCTATATCTTAAGTTTCTGCTGTGTCAATGAGAATATGAAACAAAGAGCCACCTGTCTTTGGACAAGTCCTGCACAACTTCTATTCATGTAAAATAATCAGGATTAGGAAACTAAAGCTGCATGATTGATTAGAAGCTCATTAAAATATGAGATATAGATAAATAAGGGGATTTTTCCCCCTGAAGCACACCAGTGTTCTCCATCTAAAGCATTACTGCTCAAATTACTCTTCAACAATAAGGTGGCAAAGCTTACAAATACTGCAGTTATTTCAGTGCAAACTAATGTGGAGGAAGAAACTAAAAAGCATGCAGAGTTTATAAGTACAAATGTAAAGGCACATGCAAAGAAGGGAGCAGTAGAACCCACTCAGTCACTTGGCTGGGTGCAGACTGGACCAGACATCACTACAGGTATGTTCTGGGAACAGCAGTAATCAGTCACAAAAAAGCAAAGTCAAAAGGAATCAGTTCTGATCTAATCTGACCTTTGGGATCCAAAGCACTCCACCTGAATTTCTGCAGCCAGCACCCTGACATCTGGACCCTCTTCACCTCAGGGTGAAGAAGAGAACGAACAGGAAACCCCAGCATTATTATGGCAGCATATATGTTCTTTCATTTGGAATATGGCTGTACCACAAAAGGTACATACAAAAAGAGTAAAAACGTCCAGCAAAAACAATGTAAATGCTGTACAAAACTACCTGCCTCCCTTTAGATAAGCTAAACAAAAGCATCCAACAAGATAGGCCAAGAAGAGTTCCCAAAAGGAGATCACATTCTACCCAGCTTGTGTTGCAGTCCTGCTTTGGGATGGAGACAAAAGCACGAAGCACTACTGAGCCAGTTCAACAGAGCACGCTCTCACCAAGAGCCTCGTCTCATACTGAAGGACTCCACAACACCAAGAATTTCACAAGTCTGGCTCAGACTTAAAAAAAAATATTTAAAATAAGGTGACTGCACATTGTTGGCCTGAAAAAGGTGGAAGGAGAGAGCTTAGCCCTAGTTATCCAACTATGATAAAGGAACAGTTTGACATCCTTGACTCCAGAGACCTCAGTCATACAAAACAAGTCACCACAGAGCACATCTTGGTGTATCTGAGCCATCTGAAGTCTCTGTTTCTGCCTGCTAGCACTGGCAGCTCTCTGCACTCATCTTGGAGTGCAGAGTGAGCACCTGCCAGCAGTTACCCGCAACTGGTACAAGCTAACTAATTTCTTTGTTCTGTGACTTAACAGACTTTCTAGAGTTCAGATTTTTGGCCCTCTGGGTCGATATTTAAAAATCCTGAGGATAGCTCTGAATTCACCTATGCCTAACTTACCAAAGATATGGATCTGTAGCTTCTATTTGCTTAAGAGCACACTAAACATGGAGGGCTTCAAATTCAAGCAAACTGTTTTGCTGTCAGCACACTCTAAACCCTTTTGCTACTTTGTTCAGTAGATTTTCTTCTGAATAAACTCCAAAACCACAACATCAGAGGTGTTATCATGAACTACCATCAGGAAGCTTGAGATTCATGAGACTTGTATTAGCCTGAATAACCAATTTCCGACTACATGTTACATACTAAAGTAGCTACAAGCAGTACAAAACCAGATGACAGAACATTGTTACTGTGTACAGGGTAAGTTCTGACCTCTGAACTTTGAGAAAAGTTTCAACTTCTTCAGGTCTAATAAAAAGACTTTCCTTTCATCTTTTCGTTCCAATTTCAAAGCAGAGAGGTAGGCTTCCTCTCTCTGAAATAAAGCGATATCTGATTTGGTTTGTTTAATATCAGGCTGCTGTTCACTAGAAATAGTTGCTTACTTGTTGGGAGCACCCACAGATACAAGAATAAAGTATCGCACCAGCATCTGTGGATTTGAAAAAAAAAAAAAACAAAACCAAACAAAACAAACCATGACGTCAGATGACACCCAGGCTTCTTAAAAGTTTACTGCACGACTCAGCCATGTGAGCTGTGAAAGCTTAGCAGCCCCACACAGAATGCACGGGTTTTGGGGCCTTTTTTGTACCGGCTGGGGGGATCCCGGAGGTGGGAGCCGCTTCCCTGGGGACCCGGGAGTGAGCGTGGAGGGCTTCACCCGAATGCCCCCTGCACTCCTCCGGCACATCAAGGCTGCTGGCGGCTCCTGGCCTGTGGTGTGGGGGGCGTGGGGGTATCACAAAACTCGGCCCAACTCCGGAAACTTCTCCGGAGGGGCAGGCGCGATGGGGGCCGCACTCACCGTTCAGCCGAGTCTGCCGGTTCGCTCGCACCCGCAGGAAGGTCTGCAGAGGAGACAAGAGCGGAGAAGCGTCAGGATTCGGATTTAAACAACTCGGCCCCCGCCCGTGCACAAGGCCCGGCCCCGTCCCCCCGCATCCCCGGGACAACGCACGTCCACGGGCCTCCCACCCACCGCAGCACCCACCTCTTCCCGGCCCCCGCCGCCGGGTCCCCTCTTGCCGCTCTGCATAGCCGCGGGCGCCGCGGGCGGGCAGCGGGCGGCGGGCCCGGGATGCGGGTGGATGCGGCGCGGCCCGACGGGCGCCGCCGATCAGCCCCCGGCGGCCGCCGCCATATTGGCCCCGGTCATGTGACCCGCGGCGCGCGGGTGAGAGTTCACCAGGCAGCTCCCATGACAACCGACAGGGGGCGGCAGCGCCTGGCGAGCCTGGCCAATCAGAGTCCCGGGGCGGCTGGAACCCGGGGGACTTGACCAATCAGAAATCAGGGGTTACGGGGACCCTGGGGTGCCTGGCCGATCAGAAATGACGGGTTACTGAAACCCTGGAGTGCCTGGCCAATCAGGAATCAGGACCCACTGGACCCAAGGGGGCCATGATCAATCAGACCCCAAAGGCAGGTTGCTGTCCCGGGCAATCAGAGCCTGGAAGCAACTGGGAAGAAGATTTCCTTGTCCAATAGTGATTGAGCACCCTTTAGGCCCAACATCACTGACCAATTAGACCAATTTGGTCCCAAAAATATCCCAAAAGCACTGACCAATCAGGCACCAGGGTGGCACACTCCAACTTCCTCTGCCCAGTCAAGGACTGGAGCCCAAAGGCTCTTGGCCAATCAGGGTCCGGCATAATAAGACCCAAAGGGAGGTGGCCAGTGGGCTCTTCTGTGTCCCCTGCCCTGCCCTGGCCCTGGAGAAGCAGAGCCCTGGGAAGTGGAGCCCCATCCTTCCTGCCTACTGCCACCATCTGCATCTGCTGGGCCAGGCTGAGCATCCACCTAAGCTCCAGGCCTCCAACACTCTCTACCCAAGCATGGCCCCTACCACGGGGACACCTTAGCTACAGGCACAGCCTGCGCTTTCCAGGCACTCCTCCCCCTTTTCCTTTCCATGTTTCAGCAAACCTGGGTGGTCAGAGCTGTCTCATGGGATTCTTTCCCATATCTGCTGCACAGTTGTGGTGGAGGATGGCCCCAGCAGACTGGCCTGAAGTTGGGACAGAGCTGGCGGCTACAAATTGGGCAGCAGAGGCTCCTACACACAAATCCTATCTGTTCCCCTCTCTGCAGACTCCTCAGACTTTGTTTCCTGGAATCAAACCTACATTTTGGGTCTCCTCTCTGGCACCTGACAATCTGTTGCTGCTTCTTCAGATGGAAAACAAAAAGCACCCTGATATACATTTTGCTGTCCCAGATGATGATGGGCAGCTGGACAGTTCAGGTGCTGGCTGGTGAGCTTTGCACATTCTGTTCCACATCCCAGCTCTGCCTGCCTGCTGAATGTGCAGCTGGATTTTCATACATGTGCTTACTTACAAAATCAAAGCTGCCGATTGTTTGTTTTACCCTTTTAATGAATTGAGCTGTCTTTTGAGAGGCACGCTTACCTGAGTTCGGGGGGAGGGAGATGAGCCTTCCCTGGACAAGCATTTTAGGCTTTTGGCTACACTACACTTGCTATTCAGTCACAAATATTCTGTGGGCTCCCTCCAAGCCTGAAATGCCATCTTTGCAGTACAATGTATCATTTGTAATTTGCTGTTGATTTCTCCACTGGGTATTCAGGATTTTATCTATATATAACTAAAATGGCTTTGTTTTTACTCAAAGCTCAGTCTGACAGAACATACTGTAAGAGGAGCAGCCCCTACTGACCAAATCCATCGGCTGCCACTACCTCAGTCTCATGAGTCTCCATGTACCAAACTCCAGCAACCAGTCTTGGCACAGGGGAGGCAGGAGGATGCCTCCTCCCCACATCCAGGAGCCACCCCACTGCCTTTGCTGCAGCTCCCTTTCAGCATGGGGAGCAATGCAAGCAGCCCAAGTTCTGTGCAAACCCCAATTTCCGTAGCACTTCTATTCATAAATCTCCTTCCCCAAGTAGTCCCATGGTATATAAGCACAAAGACTAGGAAAACTGAGCCACAGGAATTCTGAAAACCTGAACACCAATAACTCACGTTCTAGCATGTTACTAATACAGTGTATAATCACGATTAGATCACAACACAAGGGACAGTCATAATTCCAGCACACCTCTGCATATGGAAAGCTAAATTTTGCAGCCCTTAAAATCACCACCATGAGAGTCTTCTGCTCTGCTTCCTGGGCTTTTTCCCTTGGTAAGCCAGGCAGACTGAATTCTCGTTCATATTGTGGCTTTATTAAGAATACACTGAGGCTTTACACACCCTTGGCACCCACTCTGAGGTCCCTTTACACTGCCAGTGCAGCATAACGCAGCCAGCACAAGCGTAAATGAAAATCAGACCCCAGAAGTGTTTTCTCCCTGCCATACAGACTTACAACTCCCATTACACATTTGCATTAAGGGCTGCAACCCTCCATAAAATATGCTCACAAACTTAAAGCACATTAGAGAGTAGCTGGACTCAGCACATAGAGGGGCTTCTGCTAAGAATATTTGAGTATGACATAATAAAATGTACAGGAATAGAGGGCTGCAAGGGGCTGCCAATCTCACAGAGACTGATGTCTGGCAGAGTAGGAAGGCAGGGGAGTACTCCAACAAAGGGGGCCATGGCAAAAATCTCTTCCATGCCCTTTTGAAATGAACGTAATTTATTTATTAGCCTTAATAAACAGGCAGGAAAGAGAGCAAGATTATCTGAAACAGGCATTTCTGTATCTTCTGCATGTTTTTGCTTCTTTTACTTTGCACCAGCTTTTATTGTTCATAGGAGGTAAAGTGGCTGTAATGTGACACCAAGTTATAACTCAAAGCCATGTGGCAATATGATCCACAACTGATAATATAACCAATAAATAGGCCAGAGGATGGAATAATGGGAAACAAATGTAAGAATCTGCTACTAACAGGACTCATCTTCAGGAGCATGTTATAACTGGCTCAATAAGAGCCTCAGCACTGCTCATCAACCTCTCTCTGCAGGTTCAAACATACACTTGGCATGTGCAAAGAGGCTGATGCAGAAAGATATGAGTGCCTGCCTGACCCTGAGCACAAGCTATGGCTGCAAACCACCACAGAATGGAGGGTGATAGGCGTTTGCCACACTGGTACAGCCTCAGCCCACCCAACCTGTCCACATAGCAGGTGGGCACATGCTTGGCCTGTGCTGGTGACCAACACTAATTTATCTGCTGCCTTTCAGAGCCTAGTTGAAGCCAGTGGCTGAGTACAGGCTTGCAGCCAAACAGTTTATATGTGTGTTGAGTTGGAGTCAAGTGTGCCAGCCTGCCCCAAAAATACAGACAGACTTACAACCAGACAAGCTGTACTTGTGCTACTGCCCTTTTCTTCATTTCTTGCTCCATCTCCCTCAGGTTTTACTCATTGCATCACCCAAGTTAAGAACTGCTGCTCCACTGGGAAGAGAGCGTTTTATAAAACAGGCTGGCATGATTGTGGATTGTCCAAACTAATTTCTGTCTTGAATGAGAGTCATGAGCAAAAAATGTCACTTCTCTGAAAGTTCCTTAGTGGCATAGGATGAGTGATGACAAACACAGCCACAGAAATGAGACCAAAATGGTGAATATAATGCAACAGAAACCTCTACAAAGATTTTAAAACATTTTTAAATACCACAGTGTTTCTAATTGGAGCTGGGAGGACTTTGCAGACTGAAGTCCACCTTTGCAGTCCTGTGAGGGGACAAGTGCTCATGTCCCCATGATGCCAGCAGGAGAACAAGATGATGAGGGCAGTGATTGCACAGCCAAGAGCAAGGCTGTCACACAGAGAGCTGTGGGCACTGGGGTGTGCTGGCTCCGCTCCCTGCCTAAGGCTAAGACCAGCAACAGCATCTACCTGCTTACCTGGTATCTGTCTGAGTGATGGATGTCATCTGAGGAGTGGGGTGATGCTGTCGGAGAATCTCCTTCCCTCTTGATTGAGGCCGACAACAAAATTGACTGCAAGAGAAAGGAGAAATTCATGTTGTGAGCGTTGTTGCACTCTTTGCCTGTCTCTAAGCTGTCCTCAAAGCCATGGAGAGCGTCTGCTGAGCTGTGAGACTTGCTGGGATGGAATACTGGGCTGTGGGATTGGCTCTGCTCTTTCCAAGGGGGATCAGGCTGCTGGGTCTAGCAAAATACAAATGAATCATGCAACAACGGGACAGTCATTTTTACCCCAGGTCTGGTGGCTGGGGCAGAATCAGGCCCTGCTGGAAATGATATGTGAGGACCACACCAGAAATTCTCATGGTAAGACACAGGAGTGCTGAGGTGGAGCAGTGCTTACATGTCCTCATCCGCCCTTTTTAAGTGCCACTAAATCTCTCAATAGCTTTGTAAACTGCTCTAAAGCTCTCAGCACCTCTGCAGTGCAACTACCTCTTCCTTCAGTAATGATGCTATTTATTTTAATAAGTAGTACAGAAAAAAAAAGGGCCTTTTAGAAGGTTAAAAAGCTCAGTGATATTTGAGACCTAAGAGATCACTGATAAACTTTAAGTCCATAGTAGGTAAGTCTAAATTCTACACACAGTGAACTCTAGAAGGAAAATTAGTGTGGGAGTTTGACAGCATCTAAAGAAATGTACACTGAGTTACAACTGAACTTTATGATTAGAGTACTTTGAAGGAAAAATACAATTTAAAATTCTAATTAAAATTATAATTTAGCTACACTAGGCTTAATATAACCCATTGCATTGTGAAAAAATGTACACTGGAAATGCAGCTCTGCAGATGTTTGTTTCTGAGAATCAGCTGGCAAAATTTGACAATAAATGACTGCTTGGAGATGTGTGTGTTTGTGAAGGGAAGTGTAGATATCATCTGAATTGGACAGGTCAAGTGTGGTGACAACATTATTAAAAAGCATAATACCTTGGAGAAAGCCAAGTGTTCCAGAAATATTGCCTCTGGGCTGAAATGAAACGCGAAAAAATGTGCATTTTTTTGGAAACATATGAGAAAGTGGAAAAATGACTCAGCATACAAATCGGTTCAGTCAGCAGTAAGCAATCCCCCAGACTTGGAGAGCTCTCCACGAGAACAGCACAGCAGTGCAGCTGGCAGGGGCATGGAGGGAAGGCAGGCTTGGGGTGGTGATGGAGGAGGGCAGTTTGGGATACTGAGTTCAACCCCATGGGTATGAGCTGCCAGCCCTGCCACGAGGGCAAGAGGCACATCCCAGTGTGCAGTGGTGATCTCTGCCATAAAGCACTGCTGTACCGGCTATGGGGAGATGTGATGTCCTGGAAGGGGTCACAGAGGAGTTGCCTGCTGGGGTGCTCAGTTATCTTCTTGGAAAAAAACACTTCTGCCAACTGAGGGCTGTGCTGACCACATCTTGGGGGTGGCTTGCTCCTCAGCTCAGCCCAGCAGGGATGCCAGGCACTGGGAGGGCCAGTGGGAGCCCACAAGGCTGGGAGCACCCATCAAGGGCTGCCTCAAGAACCCAGCCTCTGCTTTCCAGGGGACGGATGGGCAGAGCAGTGAGGCTCTCTGGCTTCATGTGTTGGCTAAATCTAACTGCTAATGGGCTTTGGTGAACAGCTCATTTATTTCTGGAAAAGCCCTCTGCAGAATTTCTGCAGAGTGCACACCCCAAGCTCCTGCTGTTGTTTAGTTTCTTTATTTTCTAAATAGAGAGTGAGGACCATTTTTGAATAAGCAGGATTGCACATGTCCTAAAAAACACATTGATGAGGCTCAAAGCCTTCAGTTGTGACTCAGAACAGCAGCTCTGACTGCAGCAGTGTAAATGCCCTAATAAACCAAGCACCTTGGAGCTGGGAGGGTTAAATCTGTTTTGTCTTCCAATGTATTCTAGAAAAGGGGGAAAAATACCCATCTCCCCATTCCTCGACGACAGACAGACAAACCCTGCCCACCTCCCGCTCCCCCCTCAGCTTCTGGTAGCTCTAATCCAATATTATTATGTGAAAAATGGTTGGGCTAGCTATGGAGACAGTAAATTAAACGTTATGTATTAGTTTTTAGCGTGTGGTCCCAGGAAGAATGCTGGCCCCATTTATTCCACAAACCTCCTGAGCACCATGGCAATGACCTCTGGAAAAACGCAGGGCTAAACTAATCCCAAAGATGTCAATCTTGAGGCCTCTTCTACATACACTTGCAGTTTAGATTAATAAACTGTCTATTTTTAAATTGTGTGCAAGCACTTCAATTCTAAATACCTTGCCGGCATGTTAAACACAGTGTTAGAGATGCCAAGTCACACTTCCCCTTCACTCTCAGGAAACTTGACTTCATTTGTTTTTCTCATTTCCCTGTGCTGTGCCACACTTTGCCTCTCGGGCAGCAATGGGGGCTGGCAGGGATGCAGGCTCAGAGGCTAAGGGATTACAAAAGGCATTCATCATCAGGGTGACTTTCAATCCTGCATTAGGCCAGCCTCCGCTGTCCCAATTTTGGCCTCTTTTACCCCAGATTGTCATGTTGAGGCTGTTTTCCAATGGCCAAGCAGTGAGGATGCCTGACCACAGCACATCAAGCCAAGGATTTGCTGCTCCCTGCACCACTCTGCTCATTCCTACACTAGTCCTGGCAAGCAGAGAAAGGGTAGCAATACAATTCCCATTCCTCTCTCCTCTGTGCTCTGGGAAGATGGCTGTGGAGGGAAAAGGTGCTCTCCCAGCCCTCATGCATGCCCATGCATGGAAGATCCAAATTCTGGCATCCCAGCCCAAAAACATGGTGATGGGTGCTCTGTGTGCAGACAGGCCTGATGTGGAGATGCTCTCTACTGTGGGACCAGGTTCTTCAGCATGGTGGGAGCAAGTCTTGATGCTGAGATATCCCTTTTCCCTTGGGGAAAGGCCACCAGCCAGCTCATCCATGCCTGGCTGCCAGTACATCCCAGCTGCTCTTCAGAGTGTGTCTGAGTGAGGATATTGGGGAAAGATGACCCTCCTCCCTCCCTGGTCTCCCCTCCACAACTCCCACCATCAAAGATGGAGCAAGGGCTGTATGGGAATGGTGGTGCAGCTTCATATTTCTCCCTCCCCTTTAAATCATCTCTCCACTGGGTAGAGGCACTCTCTGTGGAGGTTATAAACCCTGAGAGGATCAGACTGAGCATTACACCTGGGGCAAGCTAAATAAAAAAAGGTCACCGGCGCTTTTTAAACATGGACAAAAAAGCAGTAAAATGTGTTTGAAAAAAAAAATCTGGCATTAAATCATGACTTTTTGCCTGCCTTGCCTCATTAAAAGTGGCCTTTTGGAAGGTAAAATTATCATTGTAAGTGATAAGATCTTTAAGAAAATAATTCACGGCTTCTTCACCCTTTAATATGATAGCCGCCACCGGCTAATTTTTTTCTTAATGGCAACGAGGCCATCAATCTTGTCCCAGCCCTGTACTCCCTCCTTCCTCCTGGTCCTCCTGCCATGCGAGGCAGTCATGGCCCCACTCAGCGATTCCTTCCAGCCCCTTGGAGCCCAGCTGTGCTGTGCCAAGGAGGAGAGATATGTCTGGATGTATGGCTTTGCCCACTTGTGTGCGCAGATCCCGAGGGCACATCAGCCTTGCTCATGCTGCAAGGCTCACCTTGGCCGTTCCCGACAGGCTCCATGGACGGACCTGCAATCCTGCAGAGATCACCTGGGAATGTTTCAGCAGCTCAGGAACTAGAAGCTACACCTAGTTTATGTATATAGATACAGGGGTGGGTTTCGTATGAATCAAATGTGCATCCTGCGGCCTGTATGCCAGCTGCTGCGATCCCAGGCATGGATCCCAGACCTGCTCCTCCCTCCCCTGTGGAGGAGCCGTGGGCAGTGCTGGGGCAATGTCGGCAAGGACACACGTGCCAACACGCCATCGGCTTCTGACCCACAGGCCCGCCAGGCGTGGGCCCCGGGCAGCACGAGGGGAGGGGATGGGTGTCAGGGTGCAGCCGCCAGCCCAAGGAAATGGATGGAAATTGCCGGCACACGCCGCCCCCAGCTCCCAGCGCGGCCTCTCGCCGGCAGCCGGGGCAGGTGTCAGTGTGGGGACAGCTCAGCTGGTGGCTCTGACATTCTGCTGCCTCTCAAGGCCAGTCATTTGAGAGTATTAAAGTGCTGGACTCCTGCTTTCTGAGAGCCCTGGAAAAACATAAGGAGTCTATTTTTCTTAAACAATCCATCACAGCTGCTGTCAGCAGAACAAATACCCTAACCCTGCTTTTTATGTATCTATATGGCCTTTTTAAATTTTCTTTTTTTCTTTTTTTGGCACAAAGTGTTCCCTGCTTGATGCATTCAGCCTTAACTCTGCCGTCTAAATAGGTACTTATCACTTAACATGGAGGTGATGGCTTGACATGTTTTCTGTCTCCTGCCCTTCCCTCCACGGTAGGGAAGACGTCAAAGTGTTGCTAATAGCTGTTATCACTTGGGAACTGTAACCCGAAAGCAATAAGTGATACCAGGGCTTGCTGTGATTTTCCCCCTTAACTCTGCTAGCCATTTTTTATGTTATTGCTGGAGGATCCCCGACACAAAGATGCTACTATTAGAGCTGAGTTTCCTAGAAGCTTTTGCAGGGTCCACATTTGCTCCCAGGAAAAGTTAGAGGTAAAATTATCTAGTGGCTTTTAGCTGGCAGAGAGAAAGGTGGGATGGAGCCGGGGATGAAAGGCTTAAATGTGAGAAGGGTGTGAATGGCAAATAGAAACAATGTTATCAGCAGCTTCTGGCCTTGGTTGTAAAATTCCAGTGGTTCACAAGCAGAATAAACTTACAGAAATGTGAGCCACTAATTAATTTCTGTGCATGTTACAGTGACACCTGGGATTGTAATGGAGCTCTGCGTCCTCTTGGAAGAGACATCAGCTACATGGAGGGAAAAGGGGCCCCTTCCAGCAGAACTGCCCATCAGCACTCTGGAGATGGAGGGGGAAAGACGTCTGGCCCAGGTCTGCCCCTCTCTGCTCCTTCTGCCAAATGCAGTGGTTTCCCCTGGTCTAAAGGGAGGGTACAGCTGTTTGGCCTAAGGGGAGTGAGGGGCTTTGTTTGGTCACAGGGTAATTTGTTTCATGGAATAAATCCTGGCAGATATGTGGTTTTGGAGTGACTCTGGTATTCATCACCCCAAACTGCAGGAAGCACAGCCAGCTAACACTCATCCTACATAATTTCCTCTCCTTTACATATCCGTGGGCTATTCTCATGTCCCCAGCTTGGCCATAGCTTTGCCACAACACCCAGATTTAGCTTTTTAATCTTTCCTTGTAAATCACAGTTACAGAGGGAGGGAGCACAGATATGGTGAATGACTTTACCAACCTCAAGTCTGTCAGTGACACAAGAGAAGGAGTTAAAACCCCAGGGCACTGACACCCATCCCTTGTTCCTACCACCAGACATGATATGAAGAAGTTAAATGACTGTGCTAGAAATTTCATCTCAAGTGAGGCAGCTGGGAAGGGCTTAATACAGACATTCTGTCAAGGTTTAAGGCTCCAAATCTTGCTTACTTCGAAGCTCTTTTTCCTTGGAGGGCTTTAGTGGTCAAATTTCCCACTAGATGTTGTAATTCTCTCTCAAACTGCTCAGTGAAGCTGTAAAATCACAGGGGTGGATGGGGGAAGCAAAGAGCTCTGGCATTGTGGCTTGGTTCCCAGCTCTGCCGGAGGTCTGGGAGCAGTGCGCTGGCTGCCTGCCTGCGGGCACCCTCCATGGAGCTGGGTGCACACCTAAACAAACTAGCCTCAGGCATCTGCTGCGTGCGTGGGATGGATTTTGCTCATGGCCACTCACGTCAGTGTTTTCATTGCGCAAGAGCACAACCAGGACTGGAAGTGGGAAAGGCAATTTGCAGCCATGTATTAGGAAGCAGCAGTGGAAAACGAATGCTGAACCCACCACAAGAGCTGGGATGCTTCATGGAACCTAGTTTCTTCCCCTTCAGTGATGAGTACCAGCTCTTCCAAAGAGGATGTAAGTTTACCTGTTACGTGACAGGTAGCAGTCTGTAGCTAATACCCTGAAATACAGGCAGTAGTGAAGTGCTCTTAGGTAGCAAGGAGGACTCGGGGATGCTGACTTCCCAGTTACCACCAGCTGCTCAAGGAAGAGTGGGAACAGCTGGATTTACACCTCACTAACATGGGTTCAACCCAATGCATGCTCCTCTCCTGCCTTGCAAGAGGCAGCCAAGGCAAGGGGAGAAAGGCAAGGGGAGAGCATGAAGTCCAGGAATGATTCCGAAGGGAACCTCTCACTGCTGACAGCTATGTACAGACTCCTGGGCAGCCACCAGTCCCAATGGAGTCTGTGGTGTTCTCCATATGCCTCTGCGAGACATTCCTGCTGCCTGCTCTACCTGACACCCAGGCTCTGGCCATGCTGGGGAGTGCTACAGGGAAGCTCTGGCCTCACAGAGATCTGGGGCATGGCTGGCTTGGGCAGACCTTCAGAAAGGACCTTCTGAGTGACAATCTGCTTGTCCAATGCCTTGTCTACACTGGTGTATCACCATCTGTTAGGCTTGGTCTCTAATGGCAGATGAGGATCCTCAATGCTGCAGACCTGTGGTGCTCAGCACTGCCCTTTGAGCTGCCTTTGCAGAGAGGGAGACCAGACACCAAGCACTGGTGCTGGCTGGAGTCCCAGCTTGCAGCCCTTGCTTGGCTGTCACTGCCTCAGTCGGCTCTGGTAATAGAAGAATCTGATACAATAATCCTGCATTCATCACATCCCATGTTGAGTGATTGGATTTTCTTTGACATATTGCCATGAAAATTGACCAAGTGCAGTGAGTGAAGCTCTTCAGGGGCAGGGGAGCAGTGAGTGAAGAACATGCATTTACATCTGGGCTTTTATTGTCCAGAGAGATGTTTGCTGGGACAACTGTGGGGAAGGGGTGGGAGAAGAGCTAGGACACAGAGCACGGGAAGATTAAATCCCCAGTCCCAAAAAGAGCCTCAGGCCAGCACAGAAGTGGCAATGGTAGCGATGCTATAGGCAAAGGTCCTAAATGAGCCCTAAAGTGGAGTTAAAGCCATTGGTGATGACAGAAGTAAAGACTCGCAGTCATCCCAGTTTCCATGTCCCTGAGTGAAATCAGCTTGTCCTTGTTTGTTTTGCCATTGGATACTCCTGAAGGATAGAGAGGTGCAGCCCCTTCTCCCATTGCTGAGCTGCTGGAGCTGCTGGCCTTTTTGTTGGCACCACGAAAAGGACTAGCCAGGAAACATTGCAGAAGTCCCCTTCCACCAGTTCCAGAGTGGTACAGATATTTCCTGGAGGTGCCTGCCAAACCTCCAGTGATGCCTGGGTGCCTGGACATGGACTGCAAGCCCACTCTGGGGGTCTGTACCCCATCCCTCCGCATGGAACTGTATCAGAGGGACTTCACAACCTGATGGACTATTCACACCCCATGTTGCAAACATGCAGTGGACACAAAGGAAAAGAGCAGCCTTCATCTCCCCACTGCCCTCCTCCTCAATCCCACCTGGTTATAAAGGGGTCTTTAATACCAATCTCAGGTGAAGGTGACAGCACTCTGCCTTCCCATACCACACAGGACTTGTCTCCCAGCAAAAGCCACATAGAAATAATGAATTCTCGTGGGCTGAGAAGCTTTCAAGCTCTCTGAGAAGGGAATGAAAGATTTCCTGATTTCACCCTCTCCCTCCCTGCTCTCCTGGCTTCTTGAAGTTAATGTTCTTAGTCCCAGACGTGACGGGCAAAGGGAAAAGATCCATGTGGTGACAGGGGACGATTGATCTCTTTTACATAGAACGACGCTCCAGTCCCAGTTTAATCCCCTCGCTCAAGGCAAATGGGATTCTTTGTCAATGGAAACTTCAAAAGCCCGGCCCTGCCGTGAGATGGACCTTCTTCTTTATCTGGTCTCTGTCAGTCACTCACTGTGTTTGCCTCCAAACAGCTAATCTGTCTTCCTAGCCGTCCTTCTCCCTCACAGGCGATATATTTGGGACTGTTGAGTTATCTACACTGAGTTCTGATGAGGAGGGAACAGGAAGATTTTTGTCCAGATGCTTTATTTTGCTGGTGCCCTTTCCAGCTCCTTCAAGACATCCCAAGGCAGCCTCACACTCTGTGAATTATCAGCAGTGGTGGGTTTGGGGGATTCCTCTCTGCTCTGCTTGTTTTCATGGGAGAAATAGTCAGGTCTCCACTCTCCTCCTAATGTCCCTGGGACAGGGCACAGGATCAAAGTATAGTCATGCAGGAGACAAAGATGTGGAGCACTGTGGAGTATCATTGCAATTTCTTTTTTCTCTTGAAGGGTTTGGAGTCATCCCTACCTGCCAGGAACTCAGGCCAGCACAGTGGCTCCCAGGCCTCTCCCTTGGTGGGGCAGGCAAGGTGTTGATGTGCTTGGCAAGACACCCAGCACCAAGGAGAACATCTAGAGCTAAAATGTCAGTCTTTGCTTCTGACATCACATGCCAAAAAAATCACCATAATCTTCCAGAAAAACCAATGGGGAATGAGACTGGAAGTTAATTCTAACAGAACAAGCATGAAGACATCTTCTGTGAGAGATGCTGAGATGTCCTGCACTTGTCTGGAAGCCAGGAGCCTCCCTCACTTGGACTGTGTCATCAGAAGTGTAGGAGAACCTGAAGCACTTGCCTCTGCACACCTTGGAGAGGACAGCATGGTTTTCAGAGGCTGTGCAATGCCCTGCAGTGCTTCCTGCCACCTGCTCAATTGCCCAAACTCTGGTCCTTCCAAACCCTGTGTCACTGACAGTCCAGCTGACAGCAAATCAGTAAATGATGCCCTTTGCAATGATGCCCTTTGCAGTGATGCCATGATGCTCTGTGAGTTTTGTATTTCTGCATTCTGAGCCAAGGGGGTGGGAGGTGGGTCCTGGGGAGGGGGTTGAGGCTGAGATGGGGTCTTTTAGCGATTTGGGCTTCTCCTTGGGTGTGCTTCAGTCCCTTGAGGCAGGCCCACTCTCCCCTTCCAAAACTGGCATATGGTTCTGGCTACAGGAACTCCCACATGTGATTTCCCAGGCTGAGCTCAGGCTGCGTGTGATCAGCTTTCATTAGCTGTCATTAGACACAATCTGGAGTCCCAGAGCCCAGCAGCTCCTTCAGCTCCACTGTTCCTCAGCTGCACAAGGAATGCAGAGCCCTGTGCAGGGACTTGGCTGCTCCAGCCCAGTGGCTGAGTGGGGACAGCAGCTTTCCCCAGTGTCACCAGTCCCCAAAGTGTTGCCACCTCCCCGGGAGACATCAAGTAGCAGGACAGGGAGCAGGCTGGGAAGGTGAATGGGTATAAAGAGCATCCCCTGGGGGACAAGGAAAATATGCTGAGGTTTGCTCACTTACCTTGGGAGTGCCTGCTGCCATGGCATCCTTCAGGATGGTGCTCTTGCTGCCAAGAGAGAAGAGAACGAGGTCAGTCACAAAACTGGCAGGCAAGGATGGGAGTGCTTTGAGAGATCTCATAAGGTCAAATAGCAAAGCACATTGTTCCTCTTCCCTGGACCAACAAGAGCCTCCTCACGCTGACTGGAGGGGCATGGGGCAGTGCCAGCAATTTCTCCAACTGTAACAAAATGGTCATACGAGTGGAAGTCCCCAAACCAGCCACATGAGTCAAACACCGACTCTCCCCGTGCCTGGGGCTTGCAAAGCTTCTCTCCCAGCACTGGGAAAAAGCAGAGAGCAAGTCTGCAGGGGCACAGGTACGAAAGGCAGGGAGAGGGGAGCAGAGGTGGTGAGCCCTGTGAAGGGTCAGGCACAACGGAAAAAAAGGAGAACAGGAAAGAGGAGATTAAATCGGTATAAGAGCAAGGGAAAAAAGATTTCCTCGGCTCCAGGCACACTGGGGAAGCAGCAGCTCTGCTGGAGGCTGGAATGATTTGTTAATTCAGCTTGTTCCCCATTTAGCAGGGAAGGAGGTCCCTATCTGGTGCTCCTCCTCGCCTGCCCTCGCCAGCGGGAGATGCTATAGATTTAATAACACCTTCCCCCCTCCAGACAGGTTAAACTTGAAACAATTACATATCAAAGCCGACATGGCGGGGAGGCCTGCACTGTAATTTTTTGGTTATTAAAGTAATCTCTCTCATGTAAATTCTCCTGCTAACATGCTGCAAACAGCATTAAGAAATAAATTATTTCCCCATGATTCGATTTGTCAATGCAAAGCACCTGCAGCAGGCAAAAAGCTCTTGAAATATGTTGCCAAGCCCAGTGCCTGTGCTTGTAAGCACACACTGGTGGGGCTGCTGGCTCCCAGCTCCCCATAGCCCCGGGGAGATGATGGATGGGTGGGTAGGTGGGTGGAGGGGGGAGGGGGGGGGAATGGAATTGTGTTTAATAACAAAATTTGTATGCAAGCCTGCATCCCAGGCTAAGGATGAGTGATCGGCAGCCAGAAAGTATTAAAAAGCCTCGCTAAACAGATGCTGACAATAGAACAAGACATATCAAATCAGATCTACTTCAGAAACATTAATATACACACGCACACACGCTCGCCCGCGCGCGCGCACCCGGCTCCGCACACCCGCGCTCCTTTCTTCTCAATCACAGCAATATGGGAGACATCAATAAATTTTTATGAGACTTTTAGAAGATCAACACGGTACTAGATGTGACAAAAAAGCAATGTGCCTGTCATGTTCGCTTTGTCGGGGACACTTTAGCCCCAGATGCCGAGCTGCAGTGCCAGCAGGGAAAAATTGAATTTGGCTGGCTTTAATCTGCCTTGATTTGGCAGATGGCTGGGTGTTATGAAATGAGCAGGGATGGAGGAAGAAGGTGTTTTCTCCTGGGGCTATGGCCCCCCTCCTCTCCCAGTGCCACTGCCTTTTGCCCCCTGCCCTGAAATGGTGGAAACACACAGTTATCCATTGCCATCAGGTCACTCCATACGCCACAGCTCTGCTTGCACCTATGGTTCCTGGGGACCACGGATGGATGGGCTGGGACATCACCTCCCACACAGCCTCACTTCCCTGAGTGAATGTGCTCACCAAGGGTACAGGATGCCTCTTGTGTCCTGTCCGCCAGCTCTGCTCTCTATCCTCAGGAGATGTCACAGACTAGAATTAGTTCCTGCTGCCCACTGAGACACAGTCCTGGCACCACCTCAAGCCTGTGCAAGAACAAGCACGATGGGAGAGATTTCCATCCCCTCTCCACCCCCAGCTCTACCCTGAATTTCTTAATCACATAAAGTGTGAAAAAACTTTCTTTTTCCTTTTATAATCCAAATGCCTTGTTAAAAAACCAAGCCGTTTCCTTCCTTTTCTTGTTAAAGGTGTTTAAAATTATTTATTTTCAAGGGAAAGAGGAAGAATATAATTATTTCCTCCTAGAAATGGTGTTGGGGCCAAGAAACTGAAATTTTCAGAATGAGAGTCTCTCTGGTCAGCCAAAAGATCAAGCCTCTGCTGTTGGGACCGATAAGGAAGAGGACTGCTTTAGATAACTTGGCAGACTTTATTTTATTCTTCATCTGGAGGATTATTAATACTCACCCCCTTTCCTGCAATGTAGCTCTACTCTATCGCTAATAAGAGTTTTCAATTTGGTTTTTATTCTATCCAGAGATGGGTTAGGCATAAGCCCAGGTCATCCAAGCACCCAGACCCTGCAATTGAAGGGTGCTTTTCCCCATCCCACTGAAGAGCCCCCTGAATTACGAGGCTTGCAGCCCCCTGCACCTCTAAGAATGCTGGCAGCGGGCTCAGGATCGAAAGGCTGTCAGTAAAGAGAAACCTTCCCCTCCATAAACACCGCAGACAAATTAAAAATGGTAAAAGGGAAATCAAGACCTTTAAAGTTCAAACACTTTTCAGTGCCTTTTAAAGTTTTTTTGCTCTAGGCCCTTGCAGACAGCACAATCTTTGGAGACCTTGGGATTCTCTTTAATCACCCAGCCAGGCTGCAGTGGTCTGAAATGATTACACATTTACATAGTAATAACCCCAACACTCCTCACATTATTTCATGGCTAGCATATTTCCACTCAGCGAGTGATCCATGTGTTTTAAATTATAACCTGTACATAGGAAATTAGTTACTAAGTACGATATTCACGGGCTCATCTGACACTTCTAATTAAGGTGATTTACACAGAATTATCTTACGAAATAAAAAAATGGTGTTTTGCTAGCTAATAAAATATAATTACTACCCGCTTTTCTAAGTTACAGTTAGTTTTAATCTATTTGGGGAATTGTTTATCTAGTTCATTACAGCAAAACAACTTCTTTACCTTGCAGGCAACCCCCCCAAAGTACCAAAGAAGAGCAAGGAACACTTGGGAAGACCCAGGGATTTTGGCAGCATCCTTCTCTCTCTCCTGAAGACTTTGCACTTCCAAGTGATACAAGGCTGCTTCCTCACTGTCTCCCCTTCTTGGGGCTGAGACACCAGTTTTACCAGTGCATTTATGCATCCTCATGTGTTTGGATGTCCCCATGGGGACAAATTTAGGCCCCTGCCCTGGTGTGGCCAGAGGGCTCTGCCCAGTGCTGCAACTGCATAACCCGGGAGCAGCACAGCCAGATCTCCACATGCTCCAGGACACACTGCTCCTTTAGATTAGGGACCATCAGCTTTAAGAGCCTTTCCTCTCAGTAAGGCTCTTCAGAATGAAAGCAGGCTACACCAGAGACATGAAGATGTCCTTTAATGCTAGGCACATATTTGGTTAGAACCATCCCCAAGTACAACTGGGAGTCTCCTCAAGGGGCTGTTTAGGCCCAGTGCTTCTGTCATGATTTCCCAAAGGGAAGCTCACAAGTCAAGTATGTGCCCTCCTTATCCACAGTCTTGGGGTTTCCTCTACCCCTGCCATGCTTGCTATCACACACAATGACCTTCAAAACCTATTTACTTTGTTGGTCTTGCCTTTTGGGGTGTGCTTGTCATGGGAAATAAAAAGGCGACATGCAAGGAGTGGTCCCTTATCACCTCCATGAATGGAAGCTGCTGCTTCTTCCTACAGGGAAAAATCAGGTCATTAGCTGAAGGTTAAGTTCCCTGAGCTAGGGCAGCTACAGTTGTTTCTGCTTGTCCCTGAAGGACACTGAACCAGTAAGGAGCAGGTTAAAGAGCTGCTGCCATGCAGCTGGAGTCTTCCAGTTCTGCCACTCTTCCACAGAATCCCTTCTCCCTGTTTGACAGGCATCAGCCTGTGCAGCTCCCACATGAGATCCTGCAAAACCAAAAGATTTCTACAGGCTGCAGCCAATAGACGTATTTCACAAAAAAAGCAAGAAAATCAAACAATTGGAAACAATTTATTTTTATCTGTAGGACTCGTGGCTTGAATATGCAGCCTTGGGATGGGAGTCCTGGCAGCAGAGAAAGCCTCCAGCAGAGCCATGTGGATGGCAATGCCAGCTGTAATGGAGCAGTCGCTGGGTAGAGAGGGAATTGGATTTTTGTGAATGCCAGTTTAAATAAATGGAAGTGTCACTTGATGCTTAAACAAGGAAATGGGAGTTTGATTTTACACCTAGCTGCAGGTGACAGCCCTCAGCATGGCCAGGTGAGATCTGTGCCATCACAAGAAGCACACTGGGATTTTTAACTTGCTGTGGCTCCCCCAGTGGCACCTGCATCCCATGACAGGAAAAGGGGCTGAGTGATGGTGAAAAATTGCCGAAGAGGCTGCAGTCAGGGCTAGAAATGTTCTACACCTACAGTTCCAGACATGCTTCCCACGTGCTCCCCCAGTCAGTATTTGTGAGACCTCAGTGACCAACACAGTCAGTTGTGACAAATCTGACTCACAGGGCAGTCACCCACCTTCCCTAAAGAGATGAAAAGCACCATAATCATAAAACACTGTGGCATGACCTGATCACACTGAAATCCCCTATTTCCTCTGTCCTGTTCACATCCCCAACTCTTTCTGCCTTGCTGGGTTTTCCTTTCTCAACCTCGGGTACCCCATGTCCCTGCTCAGACTGGATAAGAGATTTCTGGGTGAGGATGTGATGGCCCATGTATATAGGGCCAAACAGGAGACTGTGGCTGAGGGGTAGTTTCATTTCTCTCCCACTATTTGAAAAGGAGGTGGCTGGAAAAATAAAAAGGAAAATCGGAGGGAAAGGTCATGCATCAGATTGATTTGGGGGACTCTTTGCTACCATAGCTATAATGACTGTTTAATTATTCCCAGCTCATGTGGCAGTTCAGAAGAGGCTCTGCAGAAGACATGCATTGCTCCAGGGCAAATAACTGACCGGAGATTTATTTCTCACCCTCGAGTTTCCACACGCCCCTTTCCAGGCCTCCTGCTGCCTGAGAGTTAGCAGCAAAGGAAGGCATTGCCCTCCAAACCTCAGTCTTCAAGTCCACACCCTGGAGTCAGGGAACGGACTGCAGGTACCACAGGTCTGAAGGCAA